ATCTATATGAAATTTTAAAAATAATCAATTAGTACAATATGTAGTCAAATTCTTCAATTAACAAAATAACTAAAAGGAAATTCCCCCAAACAATGACTCACAACTTGGACCTCGATCATCTAAACTCTCTCACTACTCTCTCATCATGGCTTCCTCTTTCGCCCGAACTGCCCTCAATCCCAACCCCTCCACACACTTACCCTCTTCCCCAACCCCTCGCCGGAGAACGGCGGCCATGGCTATCCGATCGGAGATGAAGGTGTACCGAGGGACCTGGATGAGAGAGCAGCGGCTGGCGGAGATGATCGAGCGGAAGGTGACGGAGGCGAAGCGGGTCTGCGGCGAGGACGCGGCGTCGGACGAGTGCAAGGTGGCGTGGGACGAGGTGGAGGAGGTCAGCCAGGCGAAAGCCGATCTCCGGCTGAAGATCCAAATCCTCGGCCGTGATCCGCTCGAACACTTCTGCCGGGAGAATCCCGAGACCGACGAGTGCCGGATTCATGAGGGTTGAGGTCGGTGGATTTGGTGAATCTGGTTTAATTTGATTATCTGGGTATCCTTTCTGGTGGGGTCTCCATTTTTTATTTTTTAATTTTTTTTTTTTTGTTCTTTTGTTTTGCAATAAGATTATGCGTTGTTGTAAGTTTGTGCATACAGAATTCAATTTTTTTTTTAAAAAAAGAAATGAAACTTTTATAGTTATCTATATATATAATTGTAGGCTATTACATTAATGCAATAACCTACATTTTCCCGCCTAAAATTTTCGCTCAATATGGTAAGTTCTAATTTCTTTTTACTTTTTGTTTATATCTTTAATTTTGTAATAAATATTGTAATATTCAATAAAAGATGTAACGGTTATGTTTTAAAAACTAATTTAATGTGTTATTGTTATATTGGTAATGATAACAAATATGGTGTAACCATTACAATGTAATATTTAATACATATTCTTTCAATTGTAAATTCATTTAAAATTCGGGACCTCAACTTATACATAAACAATTATTAGATGAAATATATATATATATA